ATAGAGAAAGGGATAGAGTCTTACACAGGAAATTTATACTGGTTCGGATCAAAAGACCCTACGTCCAGTTGCTAATCACTCAACAGAGGATTAACGCTGTCACTATAAACAAATTGTTACAATACAAATTACAATGGAAGAGATAAAGTAAAAGATAACACCTCTCTTGAAACCCACAAGAGATGAAGAACAGCTTTCCCCAGAGATGGCACAACACACAATCCACTAAGAACTCCACTTAGTGATTCTTATCGCTTCTAGCCCACACCAGGTTCCAAAAGCCCCCTTTCCTTGCAACAAACAGTTCTCTGGCACTCACAACACTTAACTTTTGTATGGAAAGAGTTGTTCTTCTTTTTTTTGAGTGCCAAAGGAGAGTTTAAGTAGGGAAATTAGGGTTTAGGATTTGGGGATTTCGAAACTAGGGTTCTTGGTAATTGGGTTTTCGAAAATAGGGTTTGTTTGAAGTTTAAAATCAGAAATAGACTGGAATAATCGATTATTTGGAGTAATAATCGATTAAAACAGAGCCAAATACGTCAGAACCCAATACTCTCCGGTTTAATCGATTATTTGGTGAAATAATCGATTATCTGCATCGGAACTGCATGGAATAATCGATTATTTTGTCGTTTAATTGATTAAAGCGAGTGAGTTTGTACGTAAAATGGTTTTCTCACTGTTTTAATCGATTATTTACCTATTTAATCGATTAAAGTCGAGCTCTGAATGATAAATTTGAGCTTTTTGAAGCTTCTAAGTTACGGACTATGTACCAGCTATCTTAGATTCTATAATTACAGACTCAATCAAACTAAAACAGAGTTATTACAATACAGAAATCATCAATCTTCAATCTTCAATACTTTAAGTCTTTAAGCTCTTGGATCATCATCAAAATCAACATTCTTCATGATCATTATTTGCAACATCAAGTCCTTGAATGTTCAACAGATACATGTTTTAAAAGAAAAGCTAATGAATCTCTTCAAGTTAGTAGCTCATTAACTTCTCCATCAAGCACACAAGTTAATAATTCATGAATTCCTCCTTCAAGCACACAAATAGTTGTCATTGAACAACATCAATCTAAAGTTCCTAGAGTAGACGAAGTTGATATCTCTTTACTTGATAAAGATCCGAGAAAATAACTTTCTATTTGGCAATATCCTGTTGACCAACGTGACAAAATTTTCATGTTTGATATTAACTCTTCCTGTTTCAACTGCTACAACTGAAAGGTCATTTTCAACTATAAAGATTGTGAAAAATAGACTCAGAAATAAGATGGAAGATGAATTTCTAGCTGATTGTTTATATTGAGAGAATGATTGTTGAGAAGTTTGATATAAATTCTATTATTGATGAATTTTATGATATGAAAGAAAGAGCGTACACAACTTAAATAAAATGTATGATATATTTAACTTTTATTTAATATTTATTATCAAAGTTTATATTTTTTTTGTCCTCGTTTAAACTATTTCTGGATTCGTCCCTAGTTAGATTATAATAAAGTTAATATATTTTAAACATGAGATGAGAGGATATATTGTATGCATGATAGGGTATGTTTGATTTTTGAAAATAAAATATTTATTTCAATTTGATTTTTTTTTCAGCAATAACTTTTTAAATTATTCAACTAATATTAAAAATTAAACTAAATACAGTTTAGGAGGTTAAAATTCACTACTTCATGAAAGAAAAATATTAAAATGAAAGTAAATAGGAGGAAAATTGAGAAGAATAGTCATGCATACACTCTTATGCACCTATCTTAGAAAGATATTGAAATACTAGTTAAAACTAAAAATATTAAAATAAATAAATGAGAAAACTAATTACTAATAATTCTATTAATATCTTTTATTCGATTATAATTGAACAAGATAACAGTCGAATTTTAGAATAAAGATAATATTAAATTTATAAAAAATAAAATATTTTATTATAAAATAAAATTTAAAGAAAATATATAAAATTATAAAACATATATAAAAAGAAGAGAAAAAAAGAATTAATGTCATAAATAATATATTTAAAAAGAAAAATTACTTAAGTAGAACTTTTCTAAGTTTATTAATTAAATTAGACATATTTACTATTCATACACAAACTTTAAAAAGAGAAAATAAATTTGTTTGATATAATACGTTTATTTTGTTCTCTTTTTATTTATTTATTTTATTATTTTCTCTATTTTCGTTTACTTCTTGTTTTCATTTTTCTCTTTTTTTTCTTGTTTGTTTTTCTCTCATTCCATTTTATTCTTTAATTAAAAATAATATATTGAAATTTGATAACGTGAATCCTTTATAATTATTGAAAAATAAAAATATTTAAATGATAATACTATAACTTAATATATTATATAAGAAAAAATATTATATGATAAATTTGTGAATCCTTTATAATTATTGAAAAATAAAAATATTTAAATGATAATACTATAATTTAATATATTATATAAGAAAAAATATTATATGATAAATTTGAGATGTTATAAATATTATTGTTATATTATAATTATTAAAATAAATAATTATTTTAAAATATTTTTAATAAATATATTTTAAAAATACCTAATTATATATTAAATAAAAATACATTTAAAATTTAAATATTTGATATTTTTTGAATTAAATGAGTAATTATTTATTATGATAAAATTATTTTAAATTATTTATTTACGTCGTAAATAAAATTATTTATTTATGTCCTAAATAAATTACATGGTAAATAAATTTATTTACTGTCAAAATAAATAAAATTATTTATTACTATCATAGTTTTAAATATTTAGTTAATATTTTGTTAGTTTTAATATTGTTTTTAAAATATTTGTTTTAATATATTTTTATTAAATTTTAATATAGTAATTTGGCTAGGAGAATATGTGAGAGAGTTAATAGGGATGACAATACGAATTAGTCAATCATGTTTTAGTTCACCTCGCTTTTGGTCTATTAAAAATGAAACTGGATCGGGATGAGCTGACCCGTCATAGTCGGGATGGGCACATATCCTAGTTGTCCGGTCGAAGGACAGGTTGATCGGGCCAATGGGTTAGTCCGTCAATAATTTTATTTATATGTATTTTTTAAAAAGTAATAATTTAATTTTTATTTATTAATTAATATTTTTATTAGATAAATTGAAAAAATATTATATTTTTATGTCAAAATTATTAATTATAATCAATAATTTAAATTTAATTAATTATTTTTTATAATTTAAATTATAATATATTCATATTTTAATAACATAGCATAAAAAATATAATATTTTTAATTATAATCATTTTAATTTTAATTTTAATATATAAATATATTTTTTATAGTGAACCAATAGATCAATCCGTCTTGTCCCACTTTTGGTCTGGCAAATTGCTGGATTAGGTGGTGTGAACTAAAACGACAAACCTGTCTCACCACTTTTTAGGCGGACTGACAAGCTAGTTTGCTTGAACCTAACTCATTTTGTAATCACATGAGTAAAAAAAAAAAAAAAAGACGTAAAATAAAAAGAAAAAGATAAGAAGTGAATGAAAAAAAAATTACTAGAAAAGAGAATAAAAACTACGTATGAATAATAAATAGGTATATTTGGATAAATAAATTCATATATTTTACTTGAGTAATTTTTCTTTTAAAATATATTATTTTTAAGATTCATTTGAAAAAAAAATATTATTTATATTATATTAAATAAAATATTTATTTATAAAGATAAATTATAATTAAATATTAATTTAAAAATTACAAATATTTAAATTATAAATAATATAAACACCAATAAAACCAATCAAAAGTGAATATAAAACCAATAATCATTCACATATTTGAATATCTTTTGCAATTTCCCAATGTTTTTCACTTGATTCAACGTAAGAAAACTTAAATCAACACCATTATATTTCTCCCATTTACACAGCGCAATGTAATTTAATGAATATACATTTTTCATGGGGACGCTATTAAATGTTTTTAATTTAAACAAATATATGAAACTTTTTATTATAAACATTGTCTATTCTCTCTACTTAGTAATTAAAGAATCCAATCACTGCTTTGAGTGGTGCCGGGGCAGATCTTTTGTGGTTGAAGGAAGGCACAGCTCCAAAATTTTTTAAGCTAATTCTTTCTTTCTATAATTTTCAATCTTTCGGAAATTTTTAGATATTTATATTTAATGGTCCATTAAATTTACATGAATCCAAATAAAATATTATATATATAATTTCAAACTCATAATTTTCATAAATATTAAAACAAATAATTAAATATATAATAAAAAAGGCTAAAACAATATATTAAATGTATAATAAAAAAGGCTAAAACAATATATTAAATAATTTTTAAAAAAAGATTATATTTTTCATTTTTTTATATTTTCTTAATAATTTTTTATTATAATTTTATTTAATTTTCTACTTTCAAATTCTTGTTTTTTTTTTTTGCCTTGTTCGGTTTCATAACTACAATTATGAATTTACAAATTATCTTGGTCGCAAAATTATTAAGATCCATAATCGAGTGGGTGAATGTAATTACAGTAAATTATCGTCGGAATAGAAACAATATTAACCCAAATTTACATACCATAAAATGAACAATTGAATACTTCAATCCGTCACATCTTTCAGCCGAAATGTATTTATCTTGCAATAATAAATGTCAATCTCTTAATACAATGTGAAGTGCAAATGTCAGTAATACACTCTTGAATTTACTTTGAAAATAAAAAGCTAGAAATATTCAGCATACACTAATTAAAAACACTGCAACTCCGCAAGGTTGAGCTATAGGCATTTCTGCATACAAAATTAAATTTGATATTTCATCTGCAATTTCTTACCACATGCTATTGTCCATCACAGCAGAAACAATGCCTTTCAATGTCTCCTGCATATACATTGAAATATGTATTTGATTATTTGTTTAATGATCCTTTTCCTTTTTCGTGAGGAAAATCAAAGCAGTAAAACGCACCAGAGAATGGTCTTTAAGACCAAGCGAGAGCACCAATGGCCTGGACGAGCCAGACAAACTGCAAATCAAGAATTGGATGGTCAACATGATTTCCGAAAACGAATTATTAAATTAAACATGAACAAGGGTCTTATGTTGACATCTGTTTTGAAATATCTCTTTTAAGGGATATTTGAAACCCAAATTAATGTTTGAAGAAAAATGGAACACTCCAGAAGATGTGTAATAAAAACTCAAAAAGTTGGAGATTTTCTCACAAGGAACAAAAGAACCTACCTCATGCGCTCAATCAGCTGACGCGCACATGCTACTAACATTGGCTGCATCAATGCATTCAGTGTGAACAAGAAGCGCAATATAACAGAAAAGATCAAAGAGAAGAAATACTTTTAGACATGGGCAAGCATACCTCGTCCCGTTTGCCAAATATCACAGAAACGTTAAATGTTGGATTAATTGACACCCCTTCTTCCTTTCTGGCGTTGAAAAGTCATATTTGCAACTATGTGAGCAACCCTTCTTTTTTTTAAAACATATCACTAATTTGAAAGTTCTGGTTCTCTTATAACAACTTCAGTTTATGAGTTTTCAATAGGGTTGTTCAATGAGTTGGGTAAAATCATGAAGGGTTTGGGCTAAACCAAACCCACAAATGGTGGGTTTGACGGGATTCAGAAGAATGAAATGAAAGGGGTATCCACAAACGAAAAGGGATGACAAGGATAATTAGTCAAATCAGTTGGAATAATTCCAGAATCAGTTACGCATGTAAAGATAAAATCAGGAGGGTCTTGACTAATAGGAGACGGGTAGAAGATGGGTTCATTCAGATTGCAAAGTTTGGGAACTGTACAACTTAGTCGTGAAAGGGAAAACCCTTCGTCAAAGGGGAATCGCAAGGGAGTTGGGATGATAATTTTCTCTTCTGACCTTTGTGATTCAATTAACCATTACAGAGTACTTTCTTCTCTTTCTCTCCTCTCCATGTCTCAATTATACTTAAGATCTAAGAATTTAATCTTGGGTCAGTAATAAGATAGATCTGACCTGCTAGATTTCTAATCAATGACAACATGGACTGAGGATGGAGGCTTTGGAAAATCTGGTGGGCAAACCTGCGAACATGGATTCCAATTACATTCCCTACATTCTGATGTGATGGAGACTTGAAAATATGTGAATGGTATTAGAATATTGGACGAGGAGAAGGCTGATGAACATCTCACTCTCAAGGCCCAAATTTGCGGCTCAATAAGGAGAAAGCTGAGAGCAAAATCATGTTGCCCAATCTCAACGGCAGCAAACTGATGATTTGAATTGCTACAGCAGATAATTTTTTTGAGGTATGATAGCAGAAGCCAAAAGAGTGGATGTAGGTTGCATATATACACAAGGATCAGTGGTGTATTGACTTGGGGGAGGATATTTAGGCCGCATGTTTGAAAGGCTAACTATTTAGAAGCAATCAAGATCAGCCAATAATGTATATACAAGATTTCAAAATCTTGGTGGTGCAGGGAATTGAATGTCCCCGACAAAAAACCGAGATATTTCTTAGGTGGATGGAGGACACAACTGCAATGCAAAGTATGAACACAATTTACAAAGTCCATACATATAGCCTGAGATATCAAAGAGTTGTGTGCCAGAAAATCTCAATATAGTATTTTGATAATTGTTGTCAGAACGAGACCAACCAGGTCTATTCAGTCGGACCGGCCTAGTGGTCGGTCTAAACCTTCCAAAAAACTGAATTTCATTTGACCTGGAATAAAACCGATAAAATCAGTCATGAACCAGAAAAGCTGGTAGGTTGAAAGGTTCAATTGGTTAGCTCTAAAAACATGTGTATTTTTTGTTGTAGTTGATTTTTTAAAAGACTTATAGTTACTGATGAATTTTATTTATTATTGTGGAACTTAAATATGATGTATTAGATTTGTTTGCTTTCATATATCACTCTCATTATGTTATGACTTATGACACTTTTAAGTTAAGTTTAAATTTTAATCTTATAAATTTATATGTATCATCCCTTTATTCTATTACTATTACTTTGTATATTGTATTATTATAGTAAAAAAAATTAAAATAATATTATTTTGTTAAAACCTAGTTCAACCCTCGATTGAAACTTTGAATCTTAAACCATTGTCTTTATCAGTTTAGTGACTGAACAACCTTGGTTTTGATGTCAAATCGCCAACATAACTCAAGTGGAGGAATTGCAACTCAAACTGGGATCCATTAGGGCAGCTATAGCGGTTTGCCAACCCAGATTCAAGGAATGAAGTTGTCAAGCCTTTTCAAGAATACTACTGGCCCAACCAATCAATCATTCAGAAGAAAATTCCGTGGAGAAAAAAGTGAACCAGCACACTCCACTAAGTCCTGTGCTATTAGTGCTTATCCACAATGAAGCAGAAGTGTTAGTAGCCATATTAGGAATACAGAAGAAGCAATGAGGGCAAGCATTTTCAATTTGGCTTGGCAGGCCAGCCGTTTAGGCGAAGGCTCCGATGTCCAAAAAAAAGTATCAGGCTTACTATTTTGTCAGAATATGAAAATTTGGAGGAAGACAAGAGATTAAAAAGATCATTCTCAGGAAGGAGAAGCTCAGTGGGAAGGTGCACGGATTGGATTTACATGTTACATGCTCAAATGATCTCTCTTTTCAGTAGGGGAAATTACACAACTGAGAACTATAAAGCATCATCACGTGGACAAGTCCTTCGTAGTTATCATGATAAATAGTGGGCAAGTCATATTGCTTGGGAGTTAATAATGATCAATTTGGGAGGAGTGGATCCAAATTTTGGTAGTGGCATGGTTAAAATCCACAGGTGACATAAAAGTTAACTCAGTAGAGATCTTTATACGTCCATTGCACATCAAGGGATCGGTTTTCTAATCAAAGGTGACCTGAATTCTAACAAAGGCAATGATATATCATAAAACAGTATATAACAAGTCTTAGATGGGGAATTCACTTCAGTATCAATAATATTATATTTGTTCTCAGTATTAGCTGCTCAAAATTTTACTGGTCAAGAAATATAAATGAAATCAATGATATTGCACAGAAGTCACACGCAGACCTGGCATACACTATTGTCCCCATGGTTCCTATTTGAGTGGCAATAACCTGATAAGCAGACAGAAAATTAAGTGCTATCACAATAAAAACATAGAAAATAGCTCCATCAGCACTCACCAGAAAATGATCTTCGTATCTCGAAATAATAATCTGTGTTTCATTTCCCTGCAAGCAAGCAACTTCTCAACATTAATACCAACATTTCAACATAAGTATTAATTGTCAGCATAAAAAAATATAAACTGAACAGCTGAATTATTGACTTGGGAATTTAGAACATGGAATGAAGATTTGTGTTCACAATTTCATGGCATCTTCTAAAATTCTAAAATCAACGGTAAGGAATTCAAAATTAGTTGCTGGCCACTAAGAGTTGGAGAAAAAGGAGACACATGCATGCATACCTTGATTTCCCGAGAGAAATTGACTTGAGACACTGGAAATTGTGTAGTGGAGCTCTCCGTATTCATTGACAACGGCGCTGATAGGTCACACTCACACTACTCAAAGCGTCTCACAGACTTTACCGTTATCACAAAGTGCTTCTTTCGACGAATCGGTTTCGAGGGAGAAGAAGATGTGATCGCCGCCGGTAATCCCGACGCTAAGGAGAGGCGAGGATTTTGTCGTTCGCGTTGAGAGAGAGTGAAGAAATGGGAGGAAATGGATGGAGCTTGTGTCTTACTTGGGCTGCGTCTTACTATTTGACTATTTGGGTTGGCACAAACAATTGGGCCTATTTTTAAAAGGAAGAAATCATTAGACAATATTTTATTTTCTCAAACTGACAACTTCCATTGTTAATAAATAATAAATTTAATTTAATCATTTTAAAATTATAATACTAACAAAGCAAGTTGTCGATTGAATGTATATTATACATAGTTGTAAAAATATTTTTGAAGTAAAAAATTTTACATTCAGCTAAATATATTTTAACTTAGTTACACATAGACTGTGAGTTTATTTTGTTTAGATAAACTTGTGAACCTAAATCGAATTAGTACAGACTGCAATTGTAGTTGACATCAAGGAATCAGTGCACTCCATATTTTAAAGTTTATAGAATGGTCGGGCCATTTTGACACCCTATTCTCAGTTATCATTGGTTGACATTTACCTGCATGAGTAGTGCCCATGTGCAAAAGGGTATAAACCTTTTCGTTTCTGTATAACTTGCCTTAGTAAGAAATCTAGTTTAGCTTACGCCACTGTTAAGTCGCAAATGGTATTCAAAGTTTTTAATAATAATAAAATTCTTTTTAACCAATAATTTCTTTCAAACGAAAATAATAAATTATCTCAAAATTTTCACTTCATTTTTCAAAAACCTTGAGAATAATTAGTTGTGCCAATTTATCTACATTGACATCGAAGGTACAACTAATAAAAATTCTTGTACTCTATTCATGTCCTTGTTGTAACCAATTTCAGTAGAATTATGTTTGACTCATCTAAATTTTCTCCCCGACGTGGAGCTACAGTTTTCAGTTCTTAAATACAGTACATGAGTTTCAAATTGTTAGCTAAATCCAGAATACAGTCTCCATGAGACAAACAAAATAAAAACAAGCAAGTAACGTGGACTATATAACGTCACGAGCAGTGAAGACAACAGTCACCATAGCGTGGTCCTTATTCATCCAAGTAGTTTTAATGTGATCTAACTAAACAAGATTCGTGCCACGTGACAAGATTTCAAGGTACTTAAGGTCGCAAGAAATATCTTTGGAACATTAAATGATACTTATTTTTCTTTTAAGCAACAGTTTCACAATCAACTGCAACGAATTACAGGATCTACAGACTATTTCTTGACACATCCACCTAACTTCCTCTTCACTTCTGAAATAGATTACCATAGAAAATTACACCTTTTAAGTTCCAAAACTCAAATCTACTCCCCTGTTTAACCTAAACCAGAGTTAGTTCCTGACACCGGCCTCAACAATGGATGATTGGTTGTGGGCTGCACATTACTAGGGGCATTGAACATGGCAGTAGAAGAAACTGATTGTGATTGTTGTATCATAGATAACGGTAATCTTTGCCCCAACCCAAACATTGAAGGTCGTGGGGCAAAAGACATATGAGGATGAACTGGTTGGTTGTTGCCATACCCTGAGATGCTGGGCTGTGAGGAAGAAGCAGAGATCATTTGTTGCCTATTGTTACCGTTACTGCCCATTGAAGGACCAACACCTGATGCAGTCATTGTGGGTGTGGCTCCCGCAGTTCCAAGACGTGCTGATATTATGCGAGACCGTTCAGCAGCAAACCTTTGCTTTGTTCTCTCCAGTTGCTCGCATTCTTTCATCAACAACGTTTCAATTTCCGCAAACTGTTTCAGCTTCAATTCCAATCTTTTCAGCTGCCAATAACAGCAAGCCACTAACACAAGTTAAACACATCAAAATACTAGCTCCCCACCTGATTTTGAGTTGAATAGTCTTCAATTGCTTAATTTACTTTATTCTATAGAAAAATGTTAACATGTTTTCACACATCAATGCATACCGTCCAGACAGAAATGGACACAACAGAACAGGGATACCTGATGATTAACTATGTTAGCACACAACCTCTGAATTTCTCGCTCTTCATGATCGGCAAATAATTTTGCTTTCATTGCTGCCGCAGAGAGGCCTGCTTTAGCAGCATCTTTAACTTTCTCAACAGATAGTGGGGTTGTCCTACCATCATTTAGACCCCATGAACCATGTAACTTTGCCTTATCCTCTGAAATGAAAAGAAGTATTTCCCAAGAAGAAAATTACACACTGGCTTTTATTAGAGGGCCGGGGTAAGGTTGTATATCAGCAACATAAAAAAGCAGCAATCATAGCTAACCATTATTATTATTTGATACTGCTGTTTCTCCATGAGGCCCACCATCTCGAGAATGATTGCTTTCTGAATTGATCCTACATAGGTGAAAATTACTAATTTTTAGTACAATATTTAATGACAGGAAAAAAAGCTCAAAACCAGGGAAGATGGATGTATAAAAACAATGAAAAACAACTACAGGGAAAACGCTTCATCCAATAAAACTGCACGTGCTATGACAGCCATACCCACCTATTATCATGTCCTGGTGCTTCCACCTGTGAACTGCTGCCAGAATTATCCACTGACAATACTGCTAATGCTGCATGAGCACAAGAAGCGGCTACTCTTGGTCCAACTGCAGAGGCTAAAAAGGCAACCTTTGGAATGCACCAACCAAAACAAAGCATATAAGAATCTATGCAAAAGAATGCAGAATATAAAAGGCAGTTTAAATTGTTGTGAAACTTATAGAGTCTAGCTACGATATCTTAAGTCAGGACATCACGCTTTAGTGCTTTTGTTATGAAAGTATGGTGACCAATAAACTGGTTCCATCAAAGTGAAACAATGTAACTTGAAGACACAATTTTGGTTTAGAATTTGTTTATAAATAAACATGAATAAATGAGTTAAGGACATGACGGAAACATGTTTTCAATTGCATTTCTTAATAATATCTAAAGCATATCCTTAGTAGTAACCCACCAAAGCCATAACAGGATTTCCAGAATTTGCAAAAGGAAGCCGGCTGTCAGAATCTCTGATTTGATGGACAGGTCCTGTAACAGCATAGAAACCGAATCAAAACCATATATAACAAGCAACTTGAATTAAAAGTATAAGATAGACCTGCAGTATCTCCATTTGAGTAACAATGCAGTCTTCCACTACCGTCTCTATTCATTGCATTGGATGACAAAGACATGCTTGGAACATTAATGTTTTCCAATTTTCCATCTTCCATGGGTAGACGGAGAAAATGAAGAATGCATTGTGCTTTTGACTTGGTACCGACATACTCAGCAATTTCATTCCAATTCTCATTGTAAATCTCCATTGCTTCGAGAAGCAGTAAAGTTTCTTGATCAGTCCAATTATCCCCGTCTAGTTCACCATAGTCCCTTGTCGAATCCACCCTTAAAAAATCTATACTTGAATGACCCATGACAAATCTCCCATCATGAAAGCAATCAATGCAGAGTAAGATATCAACCTGTAACAAGGGATGCTAATTACATATGATGGAAGAGGTGTTCAAAGTTAATTTGCAGCTTACATAGTAGCAAAGGTCAATTAATGGGCCCATAGTTCACAATTTTTTTAGTACTAGTATCAGATAGGTAAAGGAATGCTTAACATATAACTTTTGTTTTCGCTAAAAACTTTCAAAAGTCTGTTTTAACCAAGCACACAGATTGTCACATACTCAAAGTAGTATTTCTCAGCTGTCATATCAGTCATTGTAATGGCTATAAGACAGGTGCCCCACTCCAGTCTCAATTTAAATCTTAATTTAAAGACACAAGTAATTGCAGCAATAATCATAATAGTGCATGAAGGGACACAAATACAAGAATAAAAGAAGCTGAGCCAAAGCAGTAAAAGTAGTTATAGATTAGATTGGTGCAATAGAGTGGTTACACTGTTACCAAATTGGTTAAATAGTTTAGGATTCATGCTGAATTGTTAATACTATAGAACCAACCAGGGAAAGCTTGGAAGCAGAATTCTCTGTTTTACTGGTTGTCGTATATACATTACAAAAGCATTCTGGCTTCTGTTTCACACAACAGCTAAAATCAATGGATAGAATAGAACCCTCCATGCTTAACTTTTCTAATTTAATCTTCACTAATATTCTAAACTTCGAAAGAAGTTTCAACCCTACTGGTCAACTAATAGGTGAAAGATGGCAGTTCCATCTTCTTAACTGTCATTAGGTACTCATCTATGTCTTGAATGGTTGAATCTGATCCTCAGCCCTCTTCTCCGTCAAATGAAGTAATTTTCTCTTCTTCTACACACTTGCCCATTAGTTTTCTCATTTCCAACAAAATCTTCTCAAAACTTGTCAATTTCTTGCCCAAAATGGCCCCTTACCTGAACTGAGTCTGGCTTTCAACCCTTCCAAATTTCTCTTCCGATTCATCAAGGCCTCAATCAAATGTGTCATGGTTTTTCTCTTCACTGCCCACTTTCTTGTCTATCTTTCTCGTTGTCTATTCACTGTCTGTCTCACTCCTAATCTCCTATACGGCCCTCCCTTATACGCTATATTTATCCAAAAGTGAATTCCAAAGAAAGAATCGAAGTAGAATTCTCCAACAATTAATCTTGAACCAGACAGCTCAGCAGTGTAAAGGGATACAAATATTTCTTCAGCAACACCCTTAAATCTTTGTTTCTACAGCATCACTTCTAGCACATTAACTCTTGGTGAAGTTACCACAAACATCAAATATTAATAAAAGCTGAACAATTATCTTTTATTAAATCTCACCTAAAACAAGGTGGAAGCCTAGGGAAAAGCCAGAGAAGCAGTTTTTAAGTTATCAGCTATCTATCTATCAATCTATATGTGTGTGTGAGCGTTTGAGGCTTTTCCTCATCTTAGGTAGTGTTTGGCCAAACTTTTTTAGAACCTAAACACTACTTTAAAGTTGAAGTTACAAACCAGAGCTTTAAAATTAACATTAAATCCATTGATAATTCGATCATTTTGAAAGTCAATTCAAAAAAAGTTCTTTCATATAAAAATTCATGTTGGACATTATAAGTGAAAAGATAGAGAAGAGAGAAAATAGTAGTAATGAGATGAGATGTCTACTAAACACATATCTAATAAACCGATGGGTAAAGCACTAGTGTAGTACAACCAATAGGAACCTAGCATAAATTACAACAACATAAGGGAATATTAAGAAAATGTTTCTTTTTTTTTTTTAAGAGAAACCAAATCTCACTTGTTTTTGTTTTATCTCTTGCTTTGTTTGTGTAATGAGCCTGGGTAATGGGAGAAATTGTTCAGAATGCCGGGTGAAATACAACCTATAATGAGTAATGCACTGTCATGCATTCATAACCCATTTGCGGGATTTTTATTTTTTACTATAGTAACCAGTTTTAAGGGCAATGGACGTGATAGCTATTTCTTGGAACCGATGAACTAGACTTGGTGCAATAAATAATGTTTCAACTAAAGGGGGTTAATCATATCCTGCAAACTATATGCATTGAATGCTTAATGCTAACGTAGTTCTGTATACTCATGCAAGGTGGTCATGTGGTGTTATTCATAACTGACGCCCGTCATATTCAAACTTTCATTCAGACCATCAATACCCATATGATGAAAGCAATAGATATAATATAATATTAAATTTGGACCAAAAATTTAGAGTACCTCTTTTTGAGACTGGTAGTATACGGCAGGGAGCGGACGAGAACAATAATTGCAATGATTCTCCGATAGATGCTCTCTTATTCTGTCCTCCAGATCAAAGACATCGGCATTATGTGCTGTCAATGACGAATAAATTTCGTCTGCTTTCAACTTACAATTGGGATTGTCAAATTTGATCAAACTATCTATAGATTTCAAAGCCTCTGCCGGGACACGGACCTCTCCACATGGCTCCTCCCTCAGGCAAGATACAAAATTAGGAGACTCAAGACTCGGCATCCGAACACAATAATTAATAATCCCCCAATGATCAAGGAACCTGACAATCCGAGTCAAATCTTCAACGTCAACCCCAGTCAACAGACTTTGGCAATCAGAAACCGTAATCCTCTTCCCAGGGTCCTCCAAGTGCAATGCCACAATGCAGTTTCTACACTCCATGTACTTCTCCGGACTATGATCCGGTGATTTCCCTGAAAAGAAATGTGGCACTGCTTGCCTCTCCAACCTATGCACGGTGGCAGGCGAAAACCAATCTGCTCACACAAACCCAAGTCAAATTAATATCAATCCAAAGCGTCCAAAGTTCATAAATCGAAACAGAAGTCAAACAAACAAACACATAACCGAAATTCACCTGAATGCATTGGAACTACAAGAACCTTAGCTCCAAAGCGCTTAACAACACCACGACCTTCCAATATGGGAGGGGGAGTGATGACGAAAGAGGAATCACCATCAAATGCAAAGTTATCAGATGGCACAGACGACAGTGCTTGAAGCTGGCCGTGAGACACGTTCTCAAGAACTGGTGCAGTGAGAGCGCTATGAGCCTTGTTGTCTCCAGACTCAAGGGCTCGCTCCAGAGCCACAATTGAGGTGACGGAGGAGTGAGGGCGGTTCACGGAGCGCTTTATCACTGCCGGGAACTGCGAAATTGGAACACCATGGTCGGATAGCACCTCCGTCTCCACATGAGGTAGCGAATTAGGGTGGTTGTGATGGTGGTGCGTTTGTTCCTCGGAATCGTACTCGCGTTCGGCGTGGTCATCCTCCGCATTGGGGTTTTCTTCGTCGTCGTCGTCCTCTTCCTCGTGCTTGGGGTGGCGCCTGGTGATTTGTGAATCTCTCTTGCGCTTCCTCCATCTGGTTCGGTTCTCTGCGAAAAAAGAAAACTCAAAATGAAACGAAATTGGGAGGAGAGGAGAAATTGCGGTAATTGGAAGCATAGGGTTGGCATTGGGGGAGTGAGGGTTTTAGAGGAATGAATGAATACCTGAAGGAGAAGCTGGCATGGCCAGAGGAGAGAGGGGTTTAAGGGAGAGAGGAAAAAGAGAGAGAAAATTGTGGGAAAAAATTGAGTGTGGGGTCGTTAATTAGAGCAAAGGGTTGGGATTGTTGTTGGAAGAAATATTTTTTGAGTTTGAGAATCGATCTCTCTCTTTCTCTGCTGGATGGATGTGTGATGTGGTTTGTGTTTGGGAACAAAAGACAGTGTTGATGTGCGTTTTGTGGTTGTAACCGGAACCAAGATGGAACGCCGTATAAGGTGAAATTCTGGTGGCTTTGCTTCCCTCGCGCGTGCTTCAGACGTCACTTATCTATTAGGCCGTGCTTCCCACAAAAAGGTTAAGGTTATCATCCTTCAGATGCTGTATTTATGTTTTTTTTAATATCTCCCTTGCCTTTTTTTTATGTTTTAGTTATTGTTTAAAGATGCTTCTTAATTGATTAATTAATTAACTAGTATTTTAACAACTATATTAATCTAAAAGATAACATCTATACTATATATACTATATGTGATTACAAATATTGTTATTAAAACTTATAACTAATTGATATCTTTATAAACATCAAGTATATTATAATTAGACTTCAAAATAAATCAATGTTTTTAAATATATTTTTATTTTTTTACCGTGCTATATAAGGCTATATAAGTGGAATATCTATAAACTTTATTGATAATTAATTTTTACAATAAAATTTGTTTGATCAAATGATTTTTCTTTATAAGACTTAAATTTGACTCATTTGAATTTTATTTCACTTTAGTCAGCGTAAATATATTTTACATTTATGATGAATAATTTATGACATAATATTATTTTTAATTGTTAATATTTTAAAATTGATGGACAAATAATTTATGCATGGAAGTAAAAGAGTATGCATTGAAAAGTATAAGATAAGAGTTATGAAAATCATGTGTGAAGAAAAATATAAAAAAATTGATAGCTTGAAATAATTGAGAGAGATTTTGTATGTTAATAACGAAAACAACGTGTATAATGTTCATTTTAATGGAAACGAATAACAAAAATGTAATTATCCCATTCAAAATTATTAGATAGAGTAACAGTGATTATTAATCCAAATTAATTAAAGATATTATTTTTATTTATTTTATTATTAATTATCTATTATAATATTTTATATTAGATATTATTTGATGAATTATTACTTATTATATTTCAACCTATTGTTGCCTTTTGAAAATTATATAAATAGTTTAATCATATCACATCATAATTTATATATCAATTTCTTATCTAAAACCTTTTTATCTAAAACTAATTTGAGTATTGAAGTGTAATTTATATATCAATTTCTTATCTAAAACCTTTTTATCTAAAACTAATTTGAGTATTGAAGTGTGTTTGGCACATAAATATTTGTGTTTTTCTGGCTATCATCTTTTTAAGTTAATTCAAAAATTGGTTAATCGACTTCATTTTCTTGTTTTGTCGATCATTTTTAAAAATCGGTTAACCGACTTCATTTTCTTGGACAATCTTCAACTCGACAAGCGTCTTGTTGACCATTCCTAACTAGTCGTCGAACGTCTTGGTATTTATCTTTAACTGGCCATCGAACATTTTACCAACCATCTTCAACTTGTCGAACGTCTTACCAACTATTTTCAAGTAAGAACAAAAAATATGTATTTTGAAAGATAAAAATAATAAAATTGTCCCTTAAAATTATATATTAGAATTTATAATAAATAATGAACAATATTTTTTGTTATTCAAATTATACGTAAATTGAGATTTGTGATAAGTTTTTTGTTTCCTGGATAATATAATAATGATAGAAGGCGAGTAACACCCAAATAATATTATTAGACAAAATATTAATGGTTTTACCAAAAAAAAAGACAACATTAATGGGGGAAATCTTTAACCATTTATATTGATTAATAAATATGTTAGTAACGTTTAAAATGACTTTTAACAATTAACCTATATTTTAATAGCATTTTTCTTTTTTATAAAATATACACATAGTATATGAATTTAATAAAACAGTAAAAATAGTTTGTTTGATCATTGTTTAGTTTTATAAGTTTTCTTTTTTCATTTCTAGCTGTACATTCAAGGTGAGTCAGTATATTTTTTTCCCATTCATGACATTGATGATAGGGTAAAGTCTCATACTATTTTGTTTTTCTTTCTTGTCACAGAAGATTTCACTTTGTTTAATAGCTTTTTCTTTTCAAAACAAAATTTTAAGTTTATCCTTAGAAACATATTTAAAAGGAGAAAAACAAATCTAAGTTTTTTCTAAAAACAGTTTCACGATTACTTTTGTGATTATTGTCAGTCGCACAAACTGAATCTTTGAATTTTTAATGGAGGTTGAGATTTTTATATTAAATATGTCGATGATCACAAAATGATTGATGAAAATGTAAGGAAAAATCGAAATATAATTAACAGATTTAAATATGTCTCGATATTGATATGTAGCTCTCAATAAATTTTGGGTCAGGTTGTCAAGTTTGTATATTTGACAATTATGATTGGGTGAAAAATTGAGTTTGACTAACAATAAGGTTGCAATGGAAAATAAGTAGGAAGTGAAACAAAATCAATATAATTCATGAGAAAATTGATTCTTTCTTCCAGTGATAATAAGATGCAGTTAATGTTTTCATTTCAATTTCAAGACACATGGAAGCGGATTTTTTTTTTTTTGTAAAATTTAAATATTAAGAGTTACGGGTACTTTTAGGGTATTTTATGGAATTCATAAATTTTAACTTATTATGGGTTAGTGTGTTGTTATTAATCTAATTATTTTTTTAATAAGCACAATTAGATAATAAGATTGAATGTAAAAACACAGTGAGACAACATATTTTATAATATAACTGAAATACATTATTATAATGATGCAATGAATATATAAATGCAACGAATACATTAACATGATAAATATTATGATGGGATTGAAATACGAGGTTGAAATATGATGCCATAACAAAAGTTATAATATAATTAAAAAGTAAAAATAAAATATAACAAATATTATAATATAATTAATATAATTAATGATAATTTCACATGATAATTTAAATAAGTGTTTGTGTTGTAGTAAAGATATAAAAAAATATCAGTTAAATTTATTAAATTATTATTAATAATTTTTAAAATTTAAAATAAAATAAAAAAATATTAATTAAAATTATTAAATTATTATGAATTATTTTTAAAATTTAAAATCAACCAATAAAACAAATCGACCCGACTTCGGTCCAAACCGTGGTGAATCGGTTGCCTCACGAGTTAGATCCATATGGATACCTCGTACGTTGTGCTCCTAAGCTGAGATGGACACATGAAGTCGTTGCATTTGAGACCCATCAAGGTCTCTCCCGCGGACATGACCATGAAGAAGAGAAAACGATCCCCAAAACAGACCCCACCTCCTCCCTCAACGCCCCCAACTCCCCAAACCCAGGCCCGCCACTCCCTCAACACCGCAAAAACCCGGGTCTGGTCCCCTCTCAACTTGACCCAGGTCGAACTCTATTTGCCACTCACTTTTCCGACGGGCCAAACCTTCCGCTGGAGAAGCACCGCCCCTCTACAATACACCGGCGTCGTTGGGCCCCACCTCATATCCCTCAAACACCTCCAAAACGGCGACGTTTCTTACTGCCTCCACTCTCACTCTCACCCTGAAAACGCCAAAACCGACTTGCTAGATTTCCTAAACGCCGCCGTTTCTCTCGCCGATTTATGGAAGACGTTTTCTGCTTCCGATGCGAGGTTTGCGGCGCTAGCGCGCCACTTGAGCGGTGCGAGGGTGCTCCGGCAAGACCCATTCGAGTGTTTGATCCAGTTTCTGTGCTCTTCCAATAACAACATTGCACGAATCACGAAGATGGTCAACCACGTGTCGTCCCTGGGAACACACGTGGGAGACGTTGGAGGGTTTCAGTTCCACGCTTTCCCTTCTTTAGAGCAACTTTCCTCCGTCTCAGAGCAGCAACTCAGAGACGCGGGTTTCGGTTACAGGTTCATCAGTAACTAACCCTAACTACTGTTATGCATGCATTCAATTGCAACTGTTTTTGTGACCGTGATTGTGATTGTCGTGTTGCTAGGGCGAAATATATAATTGGTACGGTTAATGCTTTGCGAACAAAACCTGGTGGAGGGGAAGAATGGCTTCGTACTCTTCGTAAGTTGGACCTTCCAGATGTTATATCTGCACTTTCTACGTTACCTGGTGTGGGTCCTAAAGTGGCTGCTTGCATTGCTCTCTTCTCGCTTGATCAACACCATGCCGTTCCTGTTGACACTCACGTGTGGCGGGTAAGCTTACACTGAGTTGTTATTTATGGTTACTGATTGGTTATTACATCTTTTGTAGATGTTGTGATTCATAGATGTTGTGATAGAATAATGTCTAAATTTGGATGTATCTCTTTTACACTTGGGTAAGATTGCCACCAAGTATCTCTTACCTGAGCTTGCAGGTTCCCAGTTGACTCCAAAGCTCTGTAATCGTGTTGCAGAGGCATTTGTTACCAAGTATGGCAAATATGCTGGGTGGGCGCAGACTCTATTGTTCATAGCTGAATTACCTTCTCAGAAGGCCATCATACCTTCAGATTTGTGGACCATCAAACAACGGAATCCTGCAAAGATAGAAGACGGTGAAGAAGAAGTTGGTAAGAAAAGCAAGCTTAGTCTTTTTTTCGTCACCTTTTAAATTTAGACATTAGACATTCAACTTTCAGGCAAATATTTACTACTACGTTTTATTTTTTCAAGTAGAGTGAGATCTACAGATGGTGTTACTCTCAGGATATAAATGTACAAGACTTAGGTGTGACATGCTGCTGTGAAGAATTCATTAGGTATAACATGGTGATACCACACTGGTTATTCGGTTATACACACTGTTGACTGCTCTTCGTCTTGCTTTTATTTTGGTCTCTGCATTTTATTAGCTTTGATTGATATGTTGTAACCGATAGCTTACACCTTTCTTCTTCATTAGAAAAAAAAGAAGAAGAGAGATTTATTTTTCCTCATGTTATTTGACTTGGAATTTTACTTTCCCTGTAAATAATTACTTTGCCTAATTGATTATTTACCTTTTACCTCCTGCCACCGAAAAGACTTATCTTTTACTTTTTTTATTCTTTTACGTATAATGAACACATCTGTTTGCACATGTTCTTTTGTTTAATGAATGTTGATGTGTACATAAGCACCTCCTCTAGTGACATGGTTATATAAAATTGAGTTTCTAACACTTTCCTTGATGTTTTTACTCTGAATTGTTGCATACACGGTACTAAATTGTAGCAAACTATTTCCATTTTGTTATTTTTCTAGAGCTGTCAGCTCAGCATGTACTTTGATAAAAATGATATTCACAAAGGCATTGGTATTTAAACTTATTAGGTTTTGTTGAGTTCTTCATTGCAACTTTCTTTTTATGTTTGTTATTACGTCGTGTTTCTTCTTTCCTTTGGCTCATAACTTGTGCTCCTTTGCATCGTAATGGATAGACTTACTCCTGTCACTGTGCACTTCTATTTTATTATATTTCCCTGATTATGTAACGATACATATACTGTCGAACTCTTAGGTAAGACCCCAACGGCTAAGATTCGTATTGAAAGATAATGTGATTTGTTGAGTTCTTGATTGCTGCTTGCTTTATTTCTATACTATTACATTGTGCTGCTTTTTTTCCCTTCCCCCCATCCTTAATTTTTCATATTACTGTTGTATCCTGTCTTTCTCTTCCTTTTGAATTCCTAAATAAGTGGACTTTCTCTCATGCACTTCATACTGGTTATATTATCTTACTATGATAAAATACTCTCTCTATCTCTCTCTCTCTCTCTCTCTCTCTCTTTATATATATATATATATATATATATATATATATATTATAAGGTAACAACTTACAAGTAGGTTTCAGAAGGAAGTGGGGTATGTTATGTTCAGTTCAGTTTTAAGGAAAAAAATTCTTGACGTGGATGTAATAGACTAATTAAATTATTAGGTACATAGGCAGTGTAGATTTAAATTTGATAGCACAAAGGAAATAGATAATTGAATATTCAAACACAAGAAACTTATAAAAGTCTGTTATTTTTGTTTGATAAAGATTTATACTATAAAAAATGATAATTTAGAATGCCTAGAAGTTATAAAACCTCAAGTTCTATTTGATTGTTCTTGTTCATATTGTGTAATTTGTATTAGCAGTTTAATGGGGACAAGTATCATCTGCCAAGAGAATGAATTGTTGTTGACAAGAAGAATCAATCAAGATATTGAAAATTCCTTGCAATTAATGACAATTTGTTTGTCTCTAAAACCCTCCCTTATATTTTGGAGATGTCTAAATATGCATCTGCTGGATAGACAGAGATACAGGGCCATGCTAACGTGTATATTTCCTTTATCTATACACCTGAGCTCTCTGCATCCATATAAGAAGACAGAACATTCCTGTTTACTCATAATGTGTGATCTGTTACTGTGATGTGATGTAAACTGTGTCTAGAGTGATTGCATGTGGGTTCCCAGTTTCTTCTTCTAGCAGAACTAGTAGATTCCCAGTAGATTTTAGGAGGGATCGGGGTATATGATACCTGAATAAAAATTTTAAATTGTAAGTGAATAAATGCTTGACTTGCAGGTAGGAGAACAATTGTATTATTAGTTATATAAGCAGTGTAAAATCAGAACTTCGAAGTGTGAATAAATGGAAAGTTAATAATCACAAGGCACTTATAAATATTTGTTACATTTGTTTCAAAAGTTATGTACTCGAAGTAAATGACAGTTTAGAATACTTACAAGGGGACAAGTTAAATGTAAAAAAAGAAAAGAAAAAGAATGTAAGCAAAAGATATTATCTTTTTATTTTTCATAAATAGGGTTTCCCATAATGAAAGTGGCTACACAATTGGAGAAGTTATAATATTTTATTTATCTTTAATGGTAGTCCATTATATAAAAAGTGTGCATATTTTTTTTTTTATTTAATTGAAGAAGTTATAGTTTTGGTAAACTGTCTTAATTGCAGTCACTCCTAGAGCAACTTACTTGCGGTCTCTTTGAGGGCTACCTTCATTGCAACCTCAAGGGTGGTTGTTTACACAGCTTGAACTGTTCTCACTTTACAAGTTGGTTTTGGGGAGTTGAATTAGGTAACAAAATCAATTTTCAAGAGTTATATCATATTATTGAAGGTTGACAGCAATATTCTGCGTCTTTTTATTCTTATTTTAAAATAATTATATAACTACTTTGTATCATAATCATTGGGGGAGGAGTTTCCTTGTATTCAGTCTGGCATGTTTGTGATAAATTATTTAGGGAAATAGGAATTTTAAAAAGAATTATGGCATAGGAATATACCATTTTTGTGAAGGAGTTCCCTGTGGTGTGATGAAAGATACCCAATATCGGCCTATACCTTGGCCATTAACCCAAGTATATCCCTTTCCCATAGAAGCAAGGTTTAGCACTACAGGATCGTTGCCCTCTGGTGCATCAAATGTGGTCTGTCAATGATCGGGAAATAAAATATTGGTGAACTGTTAAACAATATTGTAGATAAGTGGTGAGCAGTTGTGATGTAAATGGTGAGCAGTTTTTCATTCCGTAAGTGCAACAAACACCAGCATAAAGGCCTTTTATAATGTTTAGTTGGATTCCCTTCAATATCCCTTCTTTGTTGAGGAAAAAAATGGAATGACAAATTTATTATGATTATTGTTGATATACCTTATACCATGTGAGTGGCTTTGTTGAGCTTTGAAAACTTTCCCATTGAATTTTACTTGATCCACTAGCTGTGTAGATTTGCAATTTTTCTCCCAACAGCCCAACCTTTCATGCAACAAATTCAAGATCAGCATGCAATATGCAATACTTAGTTTAATTATTAGCAATTGTGCAGATGGTTCAAGCACACATCTATTTCTTAAAATTTGAAATTTTAAGCAGATGATAATGAGTATATAGGTTGGCAAGAAATTTGTTCAGAGTAAATGGTATAGGAAAAACAATGTATATTAACTAAATTCTGAGAACTACTTTGTGAATAGTATGTCAAGATAATTTACGTTGAAGAAGCATGATTGATAATTGAAGTTTCATTGGTATTTATTTAGAGATACTAAGTTGGTGTCTCACTATTTAGAGATAATCACCTGATATCCCCATGCTTGATTAGTGACATCTCGGCCTTGAACTTTCACTCTACTTAAACCAGCAACTTTGTGCTCTAGATATGCTCCTGAGTTCTTCATGTAGAAATAAACATACATTTCATGTAGTCAATTATCTTTCTTTAGCTACGATATTGTCAATAGTTATTTTGTATGATTTTAAGCAAACTGTGTCTGTTTCTGCAGGCGCATGCCTCACAGATATTTGTTCAATAGTAAAGGATGCTTCGCTCTAAGTCCTTAGTCTCTACTGTTAAACCTTGGTAGACGTTAAGAAACATGTGAAATGAAATAACCATCATATTACCTGGTAGGCCGATAGTTCATCTTTGGAATTTACAAATACTATGAAGATTAGTTTTTAAGATACTATTCTTTAAGTGGTTTCATTTACAATTGAGACAATTACCGGCAGTCCAACTGTTGCACTGAGGAAAGAAATATTGTTCACCCCTTTTATAAGATCGAGTTTATTTTCCATGACAAAAGTTGCATTTTTGTGACTTCCGTGTGCAGAACCTAGAGTTAGAAGCATGTATAGATCCCAATGTTAGCAACTCTAATTGAAGTATGAAAGATAAAGGAAATAAATGATGTAGAACGTTTTGAAGATAAAGAAAAACGTACATTGGAATCTTGAGTGATATTTGTGTGATAACCAAGTCTATTTGTGTAATATCCAAAACAAGATTTTTTCCTTCTAATCCAAAAAAATGGGATCGTCAGGGTTGAGGCATAGAGCTTACCTACTACATTTCCATTGACGAACGCATGCAACACATGTCCTTGGCTGTATGCACTTAGAATGGACTGACCATTAGGAGAGTTGCCAATAAACCTGTACGAGAGATGTCAACAAGAATCTTAGTGGAATATTTATGGACGTGGTATAACAAACATCTCTAAATTTAGCTGCCATCAAGTTCCTATGTTGCTATTTTACCTGAATGTGTACCACATGTAATCAGATGTATCTTTTGCTGTGCTGATTTGATCTAATAGTGTATTTGCTCTTAATGAAGTATCGTCAAAGCTGGGGATGACTTCTTTGTACACTTTCCATTTTTCGGCTGAATTGAACTGCAAATGTGATTTCATTGCTCTGGCATTTTGTGTGCTTACCTATAAGAACATAAAATATGAACGGGAAATGTTCCGTGGATTCCTTCAAATCGTCAAACACCCATACAACACCCCTGATATGATCATTTTACTTTTAAATTAAATGATAATGAGTTATTTTTATAATAAAATATAATATATAAAGGCTGGGGGATGGCTGTTTTGCCCCTGATACGAATTGCCTTTTACTAGCACCCGATATGAATTGTCTTTTATTAGCATCATGATGTTTGTCGTTTAGTTAATACAAAGATTACCTAGTTTAACAAAGCACAAAGAAACTATCCAGCAGATGACATGTTCTAAGATGACATGTTCTAAAATAAATGACACTATATATTGAGGTTTAATTTTTACCTTGGCAGTGTTGAAGGCTACATTCTTGCAGTCTGGTAGAATGCTGATTGATTTGGGGGATAATTGATATGGAATATTTTGAAATTGAATTGTGACACTCCGATCTTCACTATTTTCCAGGAAGGCGACACATTCTGTTGAGCTACTTTTAAAAACATAAGCCTGAAAAATGATGGAAAATATTGTTTTTGTTTCAAAGATTAATCTTTTAGACAGTCCTTCATAAATTTGTAGATTGTTACTCAACTACTAGTATTGTTATTCACCTCATGTTCGGTTCCTTTTTCTTTATGCTAGTTAAGAAGAAGACAACAATTTAGTAAATGAACCCACGCGTTCTGTTTGGTTTTCTTACGTTTTGTTGTGAGCCCAAGCTGAAGCTAGTTTGAGTTCCATAGAGTAGAGATTTTGAACATGACTTAATTGCTGTATGTAGCTCCTTAAGATGGCCCCATTTTGGTTGCCTAACCAAACCTGCTTACCTTAGCATAGTCAAGCTCGCAGTGATTCCATTTATACAATTTGAATTAAATAGAGAAAGGAAAGAAACATACCATATTCATCCAGTGGAGCTTCGTCATAATAGGATGTTGTTACGAAAGCAGAGGCTATCCTGTCGAAATTGGTTCCTCCATGGTACTGCATCAAATCCAATAATTCATCACGCGACTTAAAAGACAAAATAATGGCATGCCTGCTTAAAAGCTGGCGATAAAGAAAAGAGAAACTGTTACAGCAAGGTGCTGGGCAGTGACGATACCATGTAGTAATTGATATAGCTTCCTCTCTTTGCAATGAACAGGGCAACATTATATGCAATGTCTTCAGCTGATCTTATGTATGGTACTTCACCAAAGACTTGGTAACTTAAAATTTTAACGTGAAATGATTGGAATTAGACTCCTTAAACGCTTTAAATCGCCCTTTTTAAGAAAAAAATGGTTTGTAAATTGTAATGCGGAATTTCACAAGAACGTACAAACTTGTCCAGTTCTCTGTCCAGAGTGAAGGCTTGTTAGGTGAGTTAGGCCCCTTAAAAGTTTTCCCGCACTGCATGCCATTGCATGTGTTGATCTGCATATTACATTTTCATTTATAGATGTCGTAACATAAATAATATAAATAATTACGTGTTGTGAATCGAAGGCTGGGCTGATAATGTGTAATAAGAATCAATAATCAGTAATACAAGATATAAGAAACGTTTCTTGAGTGCATCTCGATTGACAGTTCTCGCTTAAACAATCCATTTTCTCGGCAAACATTCATATCCCTGTACAGTTCTATTAGATCTGAAACATTATGCCAAATTAACTATTTGTGTAGATAATATAGTGATCGAATGATAGGTATAATTATTTTTCACTGACGTGAATAACATTTATTACCCATGAACTAGTACGAAGGTTAGGTTCCAAATTCTTCATTTTGGATTTACTGAATACTGAATATTTTAAAAATCCACAGACAACAAAATAACTGGTAGAGACTAACCACCGGATCAGGAGCATTGTCTTGCTTGCACATCACCCAAGGCACACCAGTTTGAAGTCCCACAGCCATTTGGGCAGCCCAACGAATGTAAGACAGTCCTTTCTCGTGAAACGCCCCTTCAACGTTCCCATACTCGTTCTCAATCTACGTTCACCATAAACCATTTGTAAATCCAAAGATAAAACAAAAAGTATATGTAATTAGCAAGAGTTGTTGCTTTGAAGTTTAAACAAACCTGTGATAGTATAATAGGTCCTCCCTGTGAAGCATAAAGGTTGGCTGATTTCATGAGGTTGACTATTTTGGCAGCGAACCTTTGCATGTGAAACTGCCATTAATGAACGGTCTGTTAATACCGGGTGTGAGTGAAAAGTGTAGTAAAGAGTAAATTGTGTTAAGGTCTAAGGAGACACGACCCAAACACTAAATAATATTTTGGATAGAGCAACAAGAGACTGATGATAGACTGAGACTCACAATTCACAAACTAGAGAGAGTTTGATACCTTGAATTGCTCATTGTCAGATCTGAATACGATACCCGGAATATCATGTAACCATATTGGTAAACCCCTGCACCAACAAAACCGCCACTCACTTTCTTCTACTACGGAATCATTATAATATTGCTTCGTACAATCAAAGTTCCCAAAGTAACTTCACTCTGAATTATATTACCTTGATGCTGGAATTTTCGTTAGCTTAATTATGGGCCTATTCAAGGGACTTACCCATATGTGCATTCACTCTCAATGTATGGTCCAATTCGGAGGGTTACATATAACCCTTGTGCTTGAATTTCCTTAATGAATCTCACTATATTACGCCTTCCTCTAAAGTTATACTACAAAAACCAAGTAAAAGGTCAAGAAAATTATGCTTCTTGTAATTAATGAGCTTAAAAAGAAAATACAGGAGAAAGAAGAAATAGAAGAATAATGTAGAGTTGTTTGAGTTTGATCACCTGGCCTTGTTGAGGCTCGTGAAGATTCCAAAACACGTAAGTTTGTATGATATCTAATCCACCTTCCTTAGCTTTCGCAACTAAATTAGGCCACATCTGTTAAAATCAAGAACAAGTTGCAATTCACAATTTAGAGATCTTTCCTTCATGTTCTTCTCATTTACCGATTCCATTATTCAAACACACAACTTCTCTATTCCAATATTCTTCCGTTCATAAACAAAAACTTATAATTATAATGTCGTTTATGATGCCTAATGCATCCATTCATATTTGATGTTTTGTACTCAATTCCCATTCTTTAATCCTTTAACGCATTTTTGTTAGAACTAGTCCACTTTTTTTATACTTTATTTCAACCTTAAAACTAACCCACTCAAATTGACTACAAGGTTTACATGAAAATGGCTCAGCAATAAACTTTTTTTTTTTCACAAAAATTTGAGTCTGGGATCGTTGATTGTCGAACTCTAGATATTTTTCATAAAACTTCAAACATTATGTTATGCTACGAACCAATAATTTTAAAAACATGAAAGCTTAAAATGTTTATCGAAAACATAATCGATTTTTTTTTTTCTTCAAAAATTGCATAACAACGTGGTTTACCTATTAAGCATAATCAATATGTGAATTTCTTTTTGACGGATTATTTAATATGAAATTACGTAATAAGACACTGATCATCTTTGCATATACGTATCTTGATTTTCTAAGTTAACGATAATATATGAGTTGTTTTTAAATATTACAAGTAAATTTTCTACAAATTAATAATAAGAAAGCTTTGCCAGAGTTCAAGCCCACCAAACAATTATTAAATATAATTAGAGACAACTTAATTATAGCTAGATTCAGTGTGGAAACAAACCCAATCAACCCAGCTTGACTCCAATGAGATCAGATCATTGATTAAAAACTAATTAAGCAGATCCAGTCAAAGGTGTAGATGGATGAAGAAAAACTGGAGTGAAAGATCGAAGATCAATAAAAAATAATATAAACCCCAACAACACACACACTAGTCAAACATTAAAGTGTAAACCAAAAGGGGAGAGAGTGAAAACGATGAGTGAAGGGTCTCTTAATCCCCATCCATGTGAACTCAAACCTACGTTACACCGCTACACATGCATGAAACAATTACATTCTTAAATAATGCACCAATACTTATTACAAGACCCTGCAAGTTGCTTTCTATTATAATAACACCAAAGAGAAACAGCTTGTCTTGTCAGATTAATTAAGCCAATCTTCATTCTTTTATTTTTATTTTTTGAAGAATGATATTTACACTAACAACCACCATTCTTATATATTTCATCAATTTATTTTTTTCTACCACATTATATCATTTATTATATATATATATATATATATATATATATATTATTTTTTTCTCTTTTATAATCGTCTAAAAGTTGTTGGGATGTCCAACAATATTTTTATTAATTTTTATTACACTTTTTACACCAATTCATAAAGAAGTGTGAAACAAAAATAACGTGAACCAACCATATATAGCGTTGCAGCAATAAACAATGTCAACGCTAAGTTGCTGAGAGTATTCCAACAATGGAGCATTGTTTCATATTTCTTACCTAACAACGACAACGAAAACCAAATGACCCCTTCGTCACTGTCTCTCTCCTTCTTGTTATGTTTCTAATACCATCTTCAACCGTATAAAATCAAAATACATTCTTACATCATCACTTACGAATAATAAAAACTTTATTATTTTTCTCTCTGATATCAAGAACTCATTCAAAGTTTTTCATCTATCAGTAGATTTCATAACCTATTTTTCTTGTAAAATCAATTAGTTGAATTGTTTAAAAAACTAGTCTTGAATGTTCTTCTATAAGATCAGGTTTCTCATGCACAATACTCGAAAAAAACTTGTTAAATAAATAACTGACTTCAAAAACCAGAACTAATAATAGTCTTATCAGTTCTTTGTCCTAAACTCAGAAACATAACGAAAACAAACATCAACTCAGTAGAAAAAATAATTCATATGATTAACATTGTTACAAAGTTTAAGAAAAGAACAAAGGTGAGAATTGCAAACCTGCGGAGTACTACGAGGATAATGAATTGAACCGGAGAAGAGGATTCTATGTTGGCCATCAATGATTAATGATCTTCCGTCGTAGGTGACATTGCCACCGTAGACGGCACCAACTAACACCGTTAAGATGAGAGCAAACGGAAAACACCATCTCCAGCACCACACCTTCACCATTTCACCACCTTCAATCGCTGTAACTTAGTGGCTTTTGGTGATGATTCCCTACTGAAGATGATGCGTTTTCGTTAGACAGAAACTAGGCTTCTTTCACTCTCAATATGTGTGTAGATAGTAATTTATTTATATTGACATGGTTTTGGTTCGGTGACTTAGTTAGAAGCGAAAGTGGTTCGTGTATAATATATCAAATTAATATAAATGTATAAACAAATTGAAAAGAATTAAATAATGTATGTAATTAATTTATCCCATAGGCCCACAAGACATGTTTAATTTAACGTGCAAAAAACCAATAAGAAATAGTTAATTAATATTTACACCATTGAATCAAATTTCCTTGAATTTTTTAAATAAATTTACATGTTACTAGTTATTTTAAAGAAAACTAAAATTAAAAATTATTTTTTAATATATAGTGGAGTGAGAAAAATTCTTCACAAATAAAAGAAAACAGTAAACACTGTTATTCTCGTTAAATTTGTGATATATTTGCGCAACTTAAAAATATTTTTAACATGAAATACAATTTTGTTGTCGTCAGATTTTGGCATTCATGTAGTAATATTTTTCCCGTTTGCAGAAAGAACGGAGACCAATCATAATACATTTATGGGGAAAAAATGATTAGTTGTAGATTCTTTAGAAACCGAAAGTGTCAGAAAAAGTTGATAGATATTGTGGATAAGTAAATTTGTTTTTATATTCCTATTAATTGCGTCAGAAAAAATCAATGTGATAAGGATATTCAATTCATTTTATCAAAAATTTGAGTAAAATAAATTCGGCCTAAATAACTTTTTCTTATTTGTTGTATGCATGGATATAAATAAAAATAACAAAAAGAATATATAATATTCAGTAGTTTATTAATCTGAATGCACTCCTTTTTCAGCACTATAAACATTAGGAGAATGCTTTAACATTCTCAGAAGGAAAAAATGATGAAAAAGATAAAAGTTATGTTCTTATTACTTCATTATAATTTAGTTTCCAATTTATTATAGTTTTTGTAAATTTATAGAAGTTTAATTTGAAGTCCATGGAAGACTAAATTGATAGAAAATTTTGGTATTTTAAGGATTTTGAAATAACAACATATATGTTAAGGAGACATAACAGGATGGATCATTTTTATTTTTATTTTTAATTAATATTTCTGGAGAAATTAATTTAAACATTGGATTGCAATGAGTGCAAAGGTATTTGATCCCGACAAGAATTTATTTTCTTTGTATCTCTATTGCTTTACGAAAATACCAACTTTTATGCTGCAGTGTTTTTCTGAATTATTCCATTATCATAGTTTTCTACACCAAGTAAGGTACTCTCATGCTTATCCACATTGCGTTTGATTTGAGACAAATGAAAAAGAAGAGAAGAAATAAAAGGATCCATCACGAATTATTAGATTTAGTTATATATAATTATGAGCAACATGAACTCTTGTAGGTCGCATTGTAAACCATTCAATGTCGCAGTATAAATAGATTAGAAAGATATATACGATTCTTTATAACATAATTTTTCCATAGAGAAATCATTGTACAATAAAAAGTAGAAAGAGCAAACATGATTATGCACATCCATGGAGAATTTACAGGATCCATGAGTTAATTTATACAAGGTTCGAAGCTGAAAGCACCTCCTGAAACATCTCAAGCATTAGCTCCCTATCTGCATGTTGGACAAAATTATTCATTTCATCTTTAATATCATGTATCTTGCCAAATTCAAACAGGAACACCAAACATCCTTTCTTTAACTTGTGCAATTGATAAAACCAAGCCTCATTTAGCATCTCAAGAACATTTCCTGTGTTGAGATCTTCCAGAAGGCTTTCCTCACAGATGTCTTTGAGACCACCAATGTCGTATTTATGTGCAGCTCCAAGCAATACAAGCCGGTGTTGCCTGAAATCTTCTTGCTTGATTGTTCCATACAAGAAACTTATAAAAGCCGTGCAGGATTCAAGTGACATGTCTTCTATATGGATTGTAGAAGACTCTTTTTCCTTCAGGTTGTGATGAAACATGCTCTGGAACACCGGAGAACTAGCTGAGAGAACTGCCTTATGAGCTCCCAATGTGCCATCAGCAGTGACGAGGGTTAGGTCAGCATGTATAGCATCATCAAGCATGCGAGAGAGGCCACGAAGACTGCTTCTTGGGGATGCAATAGATAGCACATTCCCATCAGATGGCCATACACAAGTAGTTTCTCCACCCTGAGTTCGACAGAGAAGATCATAGGTTAAGTGGCAACAATCAAAAACTAGTTTAGTGTCATCAGGGGGCAATTCAGTCTATAGATAGTGTGCAATATGCTGAGCAAGTAACTCAAACCAACCTCATTTGTTGGTATCAAAAAGTCATCTTCCATGATAATCATCACAGGTTATATTTATAGAGAAGTGCTAACAAAAAGAAAATACACTTTAATATTTTTCTTCTAATATAATATACTACTAGAAAAAAAAAATCAATTCCTAGGATAGCAATTCAAATTTTCAATTTTAAATTCTTGAGTGATTGCTTATACTCAACAAATTATCTAATCTTTAAGATGTGAAGTAAATTTAAGATATTATCATTATTTTAGGAACTTGCTTATTCTTTTATTATTTGGATGAAATATATATAGATAAAGGTGAGGTGCTGAAACAACCAAATTTTGTGTTCTTTCACTATTTCTACTTTGTAGTATTGTTTGATCTCATTGTTGTGTGTGAAGAGGGATTTGTTTCCCAAAGAAAATCTCAACGAAGAAAAGGGTGTTTAAAATAATGTGTTAGTGTGTTACTAAACAGGTACACAGTTAAAAGAAAAGTAGTATATTTCTAAAGAAAATATGTAATATTCAGTAATCAAATCATATAAAAATAAAATATAATCATGTATATAAACTCACATTCCGAGGGCATATCTTCAGGTCTAGAAACTCAACATCAATGATGAAGCGACCAACAAAACTAGTATCCACAGGCCAGAAAAAGTCATCACGTGTCCTGAGAAGCTTTTCTTGAACTGCAGCATTCCATTATATAATATTAAATATAAAACTGCCAACTTGAGTTACAAAATGCAAATCACAATATGAAATGATCTCCATTTATTATTTGGCAAATAAAGAGGTGAGACAAGGAGGTCGGGTCATCTTGCTCAGAACTTCAGGTATATATGAAAAAAAAAGCCCCTACTGATCAAATAAAGAGAGATTTGGAAACTTGGGTTGACTTGAATTTAAGGGACTGGGGTGAATTTAAGACAGATTCTCAAATTTTGAAAATCAAAACTAATAACTATTCTCGGTTGATCCTGCACCTTATGATAACCTATAACATTGAAGCCCCAAAACTGTGTTGTTGTCATTGTTAGTCAGTCAACTACTCTTCTTCCTTACTAAACTAATCTGGCTCTGATGAGAAAATCATAATTTGCCGAACAACTTGAGCAATTTATCTTTGTAAAGGTAACCAGAGGACTATGTACCCTTCAAACAATCGTTATCACTCGCCCCCTCTCTTTTGGGGATGCATTCCCCAATTACAGTCACACAGCTGTGAATGAAACTTATTTTCCTAATTTCATGCAACCCATTTCTCCCATCTTTTACAAATAAAATGCACATAACACACAAGCTACATAAGAAAAATAATACTATAATAAGATGATTATGAATAAGTAAGGTCTGATAAGAGGCAATTAATAAAAAAAAAAGATGTTATGTAAATGCATAGTATAGGTACCAGGGGAAATTTGAAAGCTGCTAGATGAGCCCGCATTGGAGACTCGAATAATGAATCGAGCAAAGGGTGGGTAATCCTTAGAAACCTGAGAAGGTTCCGGAAAAAGATGTATGTAGAGGAACATATTCCTCACAATTGAGAAGTACCTGGTGAAGTCAAAATCTCAACTCATATTCATTCAATTCAAATACACAAAGACACACAGACGGGCACAGACTCACCAGTTCCAAATTCCGACCTTGAAAGGTTCAGACTTCTTGTACGAAGAAAGTCCGACGTTGTCGATTTTCCACTGGGCTAATCTCGCAACCGTCTCCACCTTATCGCCCATGCCTTCTTCTCTTTCTCCTTTTGCTTATGGACTCTGTTTAAACCATTTTGACCTCGCAACCTATCTCAACCATTTCTTCACAGAAATTAATTTTTATTAGATAATGCACTTATTCTAACTAATATTTAATAAAATATATGTTATTATATTCACCATGCAAGTTCTGAATTCGTGTTCATATACAGTATTAAAAAATATTTTTCATATGAAAAATAAAACAAGAATGATTGTATTTTTCAATTAATAGATTGATTTGTTATAATGAAATGGATATGTTAGTTTATTATAATATAATTAGTTTTAAGATAATGGTTTTGGAAGTTGACTTATTGTTTATTTGTGCATTTAGAATTATCTCATTTATTCATTGAAAATGTCAAAAACACTTACAATAATATCATTCATTAACATGCGATTTACAACCAGTTAGAAGATCTTATATGAAGCTACATTTTATTATTAGATAAATTTGTGTGATTAAAAATAGTTAATCTCATTTTTAATTAGTATTATTTTTAATTTAATTTTAATAATTGTTAAAATTTGATTTATACGTGACTGTTAAATCTGTTGCGGGAACACTCTAGTATGCCATAAGAAAATTCACTAACATCTTTTACACATATTTGATCATTTAATTAATTATTTATAAGTTTTGTTAGATAAATAATAAACTCGAAGTGTTAAGTTCTGTTATTATGAACTTACTTAATTTGTAAGGAAGGGTGATAGAAACATGTTTGTTTTTGTTTCTTAAAAGTGAAAAGGTGGAGCTTTTGAGAAGGCCAATGTGTAAGCAAGCACTATTATTACTATCATTCATTATTCTTCTATGTCTAAACAAGAACTGTGGATTAATCTAATTTTAATATATTTTTTTTATCTGAAGAATATTTGTAATTTTTTTTAGTTTTTTACCATAACATTATTTGTTCCACTTTAAATTTTAAATCTAAATCTTTCCGTAATTTGAAGAATGAGAGTATTTCGATAAGGGATAAATTTTAAAAAATAGAAAATAAAGTTATTTTGATTAAGAAAAAAATGAAAAAATAAAGATAAATAAGAGAAAAAATATAATTTATTTAATTCATTTAAAATAATAAAAAATATATTAAAAAAGTTAATAAATTATTAAAATATTTTTACTTAAATTTTAATAAAAAAATAAATTAAAAATTAAAAATAATTAATTTTTACAAATTTTAAAAATTATATAAAAAATAAATTATTAATTACAAATTATGTATAAATTTATATTTAAATTACTAATTAAATAAAATATAATATAATAAAATAATTTATTACAAAAAATAAAACCAATAATATTGTTAAAAAAATTATGTTTAAATATAAATTTAATTTTATTATAATTATAAATTATAAAACCATGTATAACTATAATTATAAACATTAATATATATATATATATATATATATATATAATATTTTTTAGATATAATCAATTATTTATATTTATATAATTTATTATTTATATTATATAATTGATTATAAAAATTCATTTAGTTAATTACTTTTAATAAAATTATGATTCAGATAATTATTTACAAAATTATATTACAAATAAATTAATCATATTGAAAACATAATTGGTTGGCATATTATTATAATATTAGTATATATATATATATATATATATATATATATATATATATATATATATAATAGTTAACCTACGTTCAGGTTAAAAATGAAAAATTAAATATAAGTAAAAAATAAATATAAATTTTTATATATAATATAAATATATAATTATTAAGTAGAAAAAGAAAAATATAATATTATAAATTATGAATAAAAAATTATATTTTTATGCATTTCTTTTTTATAAAAAAATATAAGTATGTGAGTTGCATAAACTTTTTCCTTAATATAAATATCTTAATACAAATATAAATTTTTCTTCAAATTTATCCCTCAATTTTTTATAAAAAGTAAAATTATGATCTAAACAAGCTCTTTGATAAACTAATTTAATAGTGTGTGAATAAAAATTATGAATAAATTATCATATTCTATGATTAAATTGCCTTTCTCAAATGAGTTACGATATTCTGATAATTGCGAATTACAATTACTATCTTATCACTTCTCATTTTTTGCTTTGATTTTTTCCGAGCATATGTGTTTGGACCCGGGCCAAAAAAAATTTATCAATTTCTTCTCTTGTAAAGAAAATGAACAGTAATTATTATAATAACAAATAAATAAATATTTCAATAAATAAAATTATTTAAAATTAATTAATTTTAATTAATTTTTCTTTTTACATCTTTTAATTTATTCTCTTTACCTTTTATTTTTATTTTTTTCATCAAACAATCCCAATTTATATTTTTTTCATCTAAAAACAAACCTCATTCTTTCTATCTCACTTTACCAATATAGATAATAAGGAGGGGAAAGAAATTAGGAGAAAAAATTATTTTCCTTTTGTCCTCTACTTGTTTTCACATCTCTATTGCTTCCACTTTTGTGAAACACAGTTCATGGTAGACTTTTGGGTGTTCAAACACTCCATTTTGTGATCTGAAGTTTTTTTTTTTTTTCTTTTCTTTTCTTGTCTGTATTAACTTAATCTTATTTTGAATTTATATATAAGCTAAAGAATTCTGATATATAGACAAATTTATTATTATAATAATTATAAACAAATTTATATAGTTAAAAACAATTAAAATTATTATTATATGGTTAAATGAAATTGTTAGATAGATGTTTGTTAATAAAAATGGATGTGAATCACTCTTTTCACTTGGCTAAAGCATTTCTATAAGGAAATCCTTAAAAATAATGAAAAACTGGAATCAGATAGTGTTCACACGTTGTTGCGTTGCTAGTGTCATGTGTTTCCTTTGCGCTTCACATTGAAATAGTATGGCTGCAAATCCAAGATATTTTACTGGACTCCACATTTCTAATTTATCACCCAATCCCTCTATGAACACGTCTTACACAGTTCTTTTTATAGTTTTATCACAACATATCTTCAACAACAGAATCCATCATTTGTAAAAAACTACAATTATTGTCATTATACAGGTGCATAAATAAAGGAATAATTCTGCAAATCGAACCAAATCAATCTCATCACGACACCATATACATACAAATATACATACAAATATACAAATTCTGTGACCTCCAGTTGTGTACTATTTACAAATGAGCCCGTTCTATTCCAGGGCATCCTAATTCAACCAGGCACAAAATAATCCATTTTCTCCACTGGAAGATTCAAAACAGATGTCTCCACCTGTACAAAAAGGGAAAAATTAAGGAGGATTCACATTTCAGAAAGAGGTGTGATAAGAGCCATAATGGGAAACAATCTTGTAGTATATACACTATGTTCTTTACCACATATACACCAACGACTATGTTCTTTACCACATTTTGATCTTTTTCAACGACAGTGCACCGCAACTTCCATTATGGTAACTTCTACAAACACAACTGACTCAATTGACTAAAATAAAAATGAATGAACTTTCAACTTTATCGCTTTATTAAAAATACAGCATAATCTAACATGGAATTTAGGGTATATTTTTTACTTTACAACATTTAAGATAATATTAGACAAACAAAAACCAAGATGTAATTGTCATTGAATCCAGGGGATCATTAAAAAGTTTATTACTCAAATTAGTGGCTGAAGGATTATAAAAAAGGATAATGTGAGCAAAAATGTACCTCTTCAAATGGAACAAAGACAAGGGGAGTCATGCCTCTCTTATGTGAGACAGCTGGTACATCTGGGTTGTGCGTTTCATCATCCTCCCATCCTTCAACAACTCCAAGAATGTCCTCCTCAGGTACACTTGCCTCACTACTGTTTACACCGCTGGTGACAAGTGACATCAAATCCATCCTATTGTTAGCCCCTGCGGTAGTTCCCCTTATCCTATTCCACACGCAGATCAACAGAACATATCGCAAAAGGAAAGTCCAATTCTTACTGTCAGTAAAGATTGGTTTCAAAGGAATAAGAATAAAGAAAATTAACATACTTTCTCTTCTCTTTATCTAAATGCAAGCTAATTTTACATGATACAAAACTTATTTCTGTTTCTATATTCTACTTCTCAGTACAGAACTGTTCAAACCAATGATGTTCAACAACTTCAACTTTCCAGAGCCTAGTGGACATTTCAAAGTGGTGTAACACAAAGAAGAACTATAATTATAGTTTGGGTTGATGATTTTATTCTAATTCTCATAGGGTATAAATAGGGTCAGGATTAATTATCACACAGGAACAAAATTTAACTAATACCAATTATAATTATATTTTGGGTTGATGATTTTATTCTAATTCTCATATGGTATAAATAGGTTCAGGATTAATTATCTTACATTGGAAAGAAAATTTAACAAATCTAATTACAAAATCGTGATATTATTTTGATGACTAATCATACCAAATTCTAGATAAATAGGACACTCACAAGTAAGTAATCTCATAGTTAACATTGATTTTATGTTTAAAATATATTATATATGAATTAGAAGGTAGCTTTTACATCGTATGGAACTTTGCAAACATAGATAAATGAGATTCATTGTCCATTAAAAACTATTATTTGTGGTATGATTTACTCATTGAGTAAATAGATCCCCACTTAATTTCTATTACATTATCTCTTCTATTTTATTTGTGGTGACAAAAACATTCCTTTTTGCTTCTATGTGATCCATGTAATCATCCTCACCTGGTGGGATAAGATCTTAAAAATTGAGCTTAGAATCTAACTCAGGTGACAACTATCCAAATTTCATAAGCTCTGTTTAAATCATGAATCTAATTGGCGTGGAATTGAACAACCACTCTTGAGGCTAAAGTTAAGGCAGCAACCAAGACAGGCTAAGGGTGACTACAATTAGGGTGGTTAAACTCTAGGGCTACTGGCTAGAAGTGTGTTTAGATTCCAATATAAAATTAATTAGCAATTCCTGGAATAGATATTTAAACCATA